TTGTACACCAGTCTAAATCAAGAGCAACTCTATGGGGCCAACCTTCATCACCCACTTGTTAAATTTTCAAACAGCCACCTTTGTTCTTTCTCCCCATGCTGTCCCTCATGCTTTGGGAGGAGGCCCCCATACAAATCTGCAAAATTCAAGATTTCAAAATTTGTTTTTGTCACAATTAAGGGTGAAAAGTTAATCTCCAGGGTTCTTTGGGGGAGGAGGGGGAAGGATTGTTGGAATGAAGTATTCTGAAATATTTTGTTTCAGAAACATTGACACTATTATTTACATTGCATTATAACATTGATTATTGCAATGTAATATAAAAAAGTCAAAATGGCCTCATCAGAATGAAACATTTTGAAAATTTTCCATCAAAATCTACACGTTCCCACAAAACATTTCGCTTACAATGAGACAGCATTTTCCAATGGAAAACTGTTCAATCAAAACATTTTCTACCATCTCTAGCTGTGACCACTGTATGTCATGCTGAGCAGTATTATCTCATTGTTTCTTTGTAGTTCCATGTCCATATCTACTCACTGGCTCTTATATTGTAGGTTCTTTAGGAAATGGACTGACTTTTTGTTCTGTGTTTGTACAGGACCTAGCACAACAAGGTCCTGGTCTGTGACGGAGCCTCCTAGGTGCTACCTCAATACAAATGGTAAATTTAAGAATAATCTCAGTTAAAGTCAACAGTATTCCACTGGTGTAAAACCAGTTGAGAGCAGAATCAGGCACATTATCATTTTTGAAATACAAAGAGCAACCATATAGTTTCAGTCCAACATGACTTATTTCAGCTCAAGGAAAACAAGAAACAAGGAAAGGAAAGTCTCCATGAGAGAGGGACAACACAATAGTCATGTTGCTTCATTAACAGGCTGCAACAACCGGAGAACAAAATGGCTGCTGTCTCTATTAGACTTGGTCAAAAACGTTCCATTTAAACTTTTTATTTAAATAGAAAATGTCTTTTCAACCAAAGTGAAATTGCCATGAAACTTTGTTTTTCAATGAAAAATTTCAAAACTAAAAGTTTTAAAATATTCCAAAATAATTGAATGTTATTTTGTTAGGAATATAATTACTCTGTCCCTCTGCTACCCCTGCCTTTGTCCAGTGGAAAAATTTAAAAGAGCAAGAGAATGTTCCCTCTCGCTACTGAAATGAAATTAAAATTAAAATGAATACATTGAAAAAATGGAAAGTTTTAAACAAAACTAAATTTTGATTTCTTTTGAGCCTTTGTGAATGATACTTACCTTTTTTGACCAGCACTAGTCTGAACACATAGGCAGAGCTCTTAGAAATGTTCAATATACAGAATACCAAAGCATCGCAGTTTCATAGCCATAGCACCACAAAGTAGAAGGAGGAGAGTGCACAAGGGTTATTAGGTTTCAGAGTAGCAGCCGTGTTAGTCTGTATCCAACAAAAAGAACAGGAGTACTTGTGGCACCTTAGAGACTAACAAATTTATTAGAGCATAAGCTTTCGTGGACTACAGAAGTGGGCTGTAGTCCACGAAAGCTTATGCTCTAATACATTTGTTAGTCTCTAAGGTGCCACAAGTACTCCTGTTCTTTTTAAGGGTTATTAGTAAGCATTTTATTTGCTTTTTCAAGTCAGTTATTCCTAGCCTCTGAATGCTGCTTCATGTAGAGGAGGTTCTTTCTCTAGCAATCCAGTTTTCCATTGCGTCTAGAGTAAATAACCTAGACCGTTTAACATACTTCCAAGAGCTTTTTCCAGTCCCCCAAATTTGATGATTATTACACTCAATATTCATGCTCAGGGAGGTAGTGGGGGAGAATTTCCCCTTTTTTAGTAATGTATGCGGAGGTCTTAGACACCACTCTTGAACATGTGGGCTACATTGGGGGAGGTTGATCGTCATTAGTGTGAAAGGGGCAGAGATTTTATGGGAGAAGAGAGACTATTCCTTTGTTAATGTAAGTGGACTTAGTTATGTGGGGTCTGTGTTGAGAGAAAGGATCATCCCCTTCCTCCACAAACCCACCATTAATGGGGAAGGGGCTCACATGTGTGTTTTCTCCTTTTGTGAGTAGGGAAGATGACCTTCCTGTCACTAATGTGAAAGCTGTTCAGGGATGTATAGGTGAATAATTTACCTTTGGTACTTGTGTACGATGGGCAGTATATTGCATCAATGTAGGTGCAACTGATCTCTATCTAAGACGTCAGTGCCCATTTAAATGCATACTCACCGATCCACAAGCTACTCATTGATCTCGGCTAGCCATGGCTAGCCATTTCTTTATCTGCTTCACAAAACCTTCATCCACTTCAAAGTAAACTGCCTAAAACAAGAAGCCAAGTTCATGATGAGAGTGAAGATTCCTGTGAGCCAGAATCTAAGACCTAATCACTTTTGAGTCTAATACAGACCTGTCAATTATACTTTTTCCCATTGGGGCTGGGAGGGGCAAGGCGAAACATATCCGGTTTCATTTTTTTCTGATTCCAGGCTCAGCATGAGAGGGATTCCATGAAATCAGAGAATGTGTTCAGAAATGACTGGCACTGAACTGTTTCAAAGTCATCTTTTGTCTCCCTGGTTTATCCCATATCTGGTCAAACAAAGTGAGGCTCTGCACCCAATTTGAGAGCATTTCTCTGTTTGTGTGTCGCACCTGAAAAGTTCCGTGGAGCTGGAACACTTGTCTCTTTCACTAATATAAGCTGATCCAATAAAAGATATCACCTCATCCATCTTGTCTCTATTAGGTAATAGTCATATACGTTAATTTGTTTCTTGTTTGACCATTATTGCTTTATATTCTATACATATCTAAGGCCTGCTTCTGTTCTGTTATCCTGATGGCAATCTTGAAATCACTCCACTGATGTAATACAAATGCAAATCAAAACAGAATCATGCCCCTAGGGAGTCATTTCTAAATGGAGATCAGATGAAGGAACCAGACTTACCTGCTGTGATTCAGCAATGCCATATCTCATCATAGTGGCAAAATGTTCGCAGTTAGACATAAGTAGATTGTAGTCTATATTCTTCCCCACCAGGTGCTCAGCTCTCTTTACCACATGAAGAAGAGGTAATGGAGGGTGCTTTTTATCTAATTGGTTGTTTACAGCATAGCTTGAAACACGAGCCACGTTCCTCAGACGCTCCTTTTGCACTTTGGCTTTGAAGAATTCTCCATTAAGCATATTATTCAATCCCTCTTCCAACTCTTAGGAAAAAAAAAAAAGACAGCCAATAAGAAGTGAAAGAGGGTTGGCAGTTTGCCCAGATCTGACAGGATTGACTAGAGCCTCACAAATAAGTGATTTTTTTTTTTTTTGGTTCAGTGGCTGAACTGGAGGGAAAAAATCCCCCCAAAAAAGTTTGTTTTGGGTTGAATGAGATGTTTTGTTAGGAATCTCATTCTGAGTCTTCATTACATTTTGTTTAGTCTGGGTAGATTTTTTCACCCTAGTTTCATTATTTTAAAAGCATGAGTTAGATTTCAAAACCAAGTCAAAATGTTTTGTTTAGAAAATGTCAGAACAAAATGTTTCAACTTTTTAAAAATTATTTTTTAAGCTGAAACTATTCTCCAATTTGACCCAAATTTGTAAATAGTTTTGGTTGACCCCAAACTGTGTTTTTCAGTGAATAAGCTATTTGTCCAAAAAATTTCAGCCAGCTCTAAGAGTGATATCTAGAAAAGGCATACTTAGCGCTGCTTCTCTTGGTTGGCCCAAGAAGAGCAACGCCTGACTGAGGTATGCGAAGCATACAGTATCTCCTGTTGGAAGTGAGAGGAAAGGTTGTTGAGTGGTTAGGTGGAAAGCTGGGATTTGGGAGACCTGAATTCGAGACTCTGCTGTTCCACAGACTTCCTGTGACACATTTGGCTTTCTTGGGACACAGTCTCTCTCTCTCTGCCTTAGTTCCCCATCTGTAAAATGGGGATAATAGTACTTTCCTACTTTAAAGAAAGGGTAAATAGAAGTAGAGATTGTGAGGTTCTCAGATACTGTGGTAATGGAGGCCACATGAGTACGTTAGCTAGATAGATTTGAGACATTAAGCAATACTGATGAACTAAAATTTTGAGGGAGAGGTGGGAGGGTCAGATTTGGGGCCCAAATCTGAACTGAGCAAATTCTGGGCCCAAATTGCTCGGAGCTTATTATGGAGACTGAATCTGCTCTAGCTGTGGCTGAACCAAGGAAGGGCTAGTAGAGGTCTGAGTGATCAGTGACTTTTGGTTTGTGATTTAAGTGTGAGAAATTGCATCTGAGATGCATCAAGAAAGGTTCATACTACGTACAGCTTTGAATATCAGAGGATCAGAGGCAGGAGGAAGAGTAGAGGGAACAGTTTTGGTTATTGCCTTTTCACAAGTGTGCTTTCCCCATCTTGCCACCCAACAACCTCAGTGTGCTATAGCCACATACCTAGAGCGGACATCACTTGGGTGAAACAAGAGTTCAATCTCCAGGAGCCACCCAGGCCTTCATCTATCTGATGAGAATGCCAAGGGACCAATTCGTGTAAATTGTAATGATGGGTCATGTGCTGTGCACACCTGTCCTGCTGGGAACTGCGGTGAGATCATTTTTATACAAGAGTCAAAACATCAGATGAGAATTTTGGATTATGTGATGAATCTATGGAAGGATTCAACTTTTTATTCTTATTTACCTGGAAATGTGAAGTGGACCACATGTCCCTTTCCCACATAGATGCCCCAGTGTTGGTATCCCATTCTCTGAAATTCAATCAGATCCCCAGGCTCTAGCATTATTGCTGAAGTAAGGAGATCCCATAGATCCCGTATCTGAAAGTGAAAGAAAGATTGGTTGTTAAATCTTTGCTAAACAGAATATTTTTCTTTAAACCTTAAGACTAATAAACAGCAAGTACCATATTTTTAAGATGTGCATGTGACTTCTCCTGGCTTGATCCAGAGAGACTCATCTCCCATCCAAGACAAGCTGAACTCAGTTCCAAGTTCCAACCATCTTATCCAGAGAGCAGAGACTACACAGCACAACTTCTACTGGCTCTGGCTTTGCCCAGGGGGAAATAACTTATATCTTCTTACAACATACAGCCTCTACTGACTTGGCTCCTGGGGGAGGAGGCTGTCATCTGAAGTATGTTCACTACGGGACAATCAGATCCAGCCACTATGGCTGTGGAAGTCCTTTTGATATTGGAAATAATGCAGTTCCACTGGTTGGAGCAGCTGGATTTGGGGACTACATGGCACAGAGCAGAGCTGGTGAGGGTGGAAGCAGGGGCGGCTCCAGGCACCAGCGCTCCAAGCTCGTGCCTGGGGCGGCAAGCTGCGGGGGGGCGGCCTGCCGGTCGACGTGAGGACGACAGTCAGGCCGCCTTTGGCTGCATGCCTGCGGGAGGTCCGCCGGTCCTGCAGCTTTGGCGGCAATTCGGCAGCGGGTACGCTGAAGGCATGGGACCGACGGACCACCCGCAGGCATGCCGCCGAATCCGCAATACCAGCAGACCTCCTGCAGGCGCACCACCGAAGGCTGCCTGACTGCTGTGCTTGGGGCGGCAAAATACATAGAGCTGCCCCTGGGTGGAAGGAAGAGACGGTTCTGAGCTTTCACAACTGCAAAGCTCCTCAGTGTTCTACCCACCCCATGTGGAGGGGTTGCCCAAGGCACCTTGGAGGTTAGTCTATGTTCCATGTATACACATAGAACTTAGATTAAAAACAAATATTCTTGCTGGAAGATTGCAATGAAACACTACTTTCATTCTTAGAATTCAGAATGATAACACATAAGAACCCCAAACAGAGAGAGACAAGGAAAGCTACTCCTTAAGACAGAGAGGTATAACTCCTCCCGCCCCCCCGCCCCCACTGTAGGCTGGTTGGCTGCAGACTGATTGCTGCTAGGCCCAGCTTGCATGCTTCCCCACAGAGCGCCCTAAACCTACAAGCAAGACCAGAAAAAACCCTGAAATTTGCAATGGCAGCCTACAGATTTAACATACCAATAGGCAGGAGCAGCCTCCTCAGATCAGAACCACTGCCTATTACTGCCTTGTGGGGTGGGTTCCTTCTCCCCCTGGAGATCTCTCCAGAGCTCAGCTACTCAGGCTTGGCACTGTGGGGTAGATTTAGCTATCTCCTATAGACACAGGCAGGGAACATCTCCTTTTCAGTTACAGTGCAGTTACCATACAGCAGGGGGGTCATTTGTTATTATGGAGCAGCAGTGACAGTTGCCTGCTCCCCCACCCAACTTTTCATAGGTCTGTTTTCCACTTTCTCCCCCACCCCGCCACAACATTGCAAGATATCATATAATCACATAGCATGTTCTATATGCTGACACAACTTTGTCCCTCCCCAGAAATAATGCCCCTGACATACAGAACCAAAAAATCATGTTAAGAACTGAGTCACTCAATGCTGCCAAAACAGCAGCTGATCTGGGACCAGCTGTAATGCTAGTGTCATGTTTGCTGCTCATGCTCAAAGTGTCAAAGGCATGGAACAAAAGCTGCTGGAGAATCAGGATATGTCCCTCGTTATCACATCCCTGGCAGGAGCACATCACATAGATGCCCCCTTGTCCTGTTTAACAGAAGGCCTCTATCCAATATTCTCCTACCTCCCCCCACCCCCATATACACAGACCTTCATGGGACTGAAACCTCCAGCTGAGTTGTCAGAGGAGGTGGGACCAGGACCGGGTCCAGGGTTTTGGCCGCCCCAAGCAGCCAAAAAAAAAAAAAAAAGCCGCGATCACGATCTGCGGCGGCAATTCAGTGGGAGGTCCTTCGCTCCGAGCAGGAGTTAGGGACCGTCTGCCGAATTGCCGCCAAATAGCTGGACCTGCCGCCCCCCTCTGGAGCGGCCGCCCCAAGCACCTACTTGCCAGGCTGGTGCCTGGAGCCGGCCCTGGGTGGGACAGTTTTGGGTAGGTGGAAGTAGGGGAAGGGGGCCCAGGTTTGTTTAAACTAGCCTTGGGAGGCGCACACAGAGGGTACAGTCATGGACAGAGGGGAGTGGGTGAGGATGGTCTCCACTTACTGTTGAAGCTCAGCTTTAATGTCACGTCCGTGATGTGCTGACATAACGTAAGAGAGTTGAGTCAACTGCTGTACATGGGAAGAAAGTTACTTACCCAGTCCATGTTCTCACTCTCTTTCTGGATTATTCTGAGCTCTTCTGTGTGACAGGCTTTATACTCCTTTCTTTTCTGACAGCAAGAATACAATGTGATTGCACAGAAAACAGTTACTCCTCTCCTCTCAGCTGGTTGCAGCTGAAGTGAGGGCTGAGGTGGGGTGTTACAGTCAGTTTTGTTTATCGCTAAAAGGCTGAATTCCAGGAATGAGTATTGTTTCTTTCAGATCTTTGTGATTTCAAAGACTTTCAAGTGTTTTCTTCTAAAACCTGAGCAGAGTCCAAGTTCATTGTCATCCTGAAGTGAACTTTAAGGCATTTTACTTTAAGGCACTG